TAAGTAGGTAAGAGATAAAAAACTATACCATTTCCTTCCTTTGACACATTTTCGGTATCTCTTCTTCATGGTTAGGAATCTGTTACTAAATATAACTAAGCCTCAGGACAACTTCCATGGGTCAAAGCAAAACCAATTCAGTTTTGCCCTTCTTGAAATGACACTGTTGCCCATCAGCTTACTGGAAGCAGAAATTTCTTCTCGTGAGAATCCAAAAGATTTGTGAGAGCACCAACATTTTCAGCCCTCTAGAAAAAAAAAATGGAACATTTCTTTTGGAGATTTTCTTCAGTGAAATTTAAACTAGGGTTGCAATTTTATTAGCATTAGCCTGTGGGGTCTGACAACTGTTTTATAAGTGACACAGGCATTGAGATAGAAGCATTACAACCTCTCTAGGCTATTTGAAAGACTTGATAGAAACGTGTTAGCCAAAGTCATGAGCTGTGTTTTTAGCCTGAAGTTATGAACAGTGCACAGTGTTATTAAAACCCTGTGGTTTACATGGAAACTTTATTGTTAGGGTTTATGTTTTAGCATTCCTTTGGTTGATTGACCACACATCCATTTCTAAAATCTCATTGTGTTGAGCAGCATTTTACCATACTAGTGGAGAAGTAGAATATATTCTCATTAACGGTAGTGTAAATAGGAGCTTTAGTGAGAGACTTCCTAGGAGAATCCAGGACTAGGCAGGCTTGCGAAGCACAGCTGGTTTGCCTTGGATCTTTTTGACTCTGCAGATTTCTTTTATTCATGTCAACTGTAATGTTGGATACCTCAACTTTCGGGCTTCTGTGAGTCCTGCAGAGTTCTTAATGAAGTAAAACAAGAGGAGATAGGGAGCTGCCTACAGTGTCTTTCTGGCCTTGCGTCATGTCTGATAACTTTCAATTTTGCTTAAAAAAATCCACCAACTTTTCTCTGCTTCTCCCCATAGTCCTCCTTTTTCATTCCAAGGAAATGCTTGTTTTAAAAAGTTTTGGCATCCCTGCAGTTCGGTGCTAACAGCAGGGCTTGGGGAACTAACACAGCCTGTCCTAGAGCTTCCCAGTGCCTCTGTGTTCTCCCCAGGAGGTTTTGTGGGCCTCTGGCCATGGCACACCTTCCTGTGTGGGTCTAGCTCGCCAAGCTTGCAATGAGCAACCTCCCATCCCGAACGCGTGTGACCCTGTCCTTGGCCCGGCTCTGGTGCCTGGCGCCGTCCGTCCGCCTGCCTCCTGCCAAGCTGGACCCACAAACGTTTTCATTTCTGACAAAGGGCAACTGTTTGGAGGAGTTGTTGTCTTGCTTGGTGCTCCTAATCCCTGGAATAACTGCTGTGACGAGCATAGTAACCATCTGCAGTAAGACCAATACATTGGTGCCTTTCAAGTGCAATCATTGCAACGACCTCCTTTTTTTTTCTTTTTCTTTTAAAACTTTTCAAAAGCATGGGGAGTTGGAAGCTCAAGTGCTGGACAAGTCATCAGGAGCTGTAGTCCCTGAGGTGCATCTATTTTTAACTCTTTGAGGAGTATCTAGCCCTCTTTAGCTATTTATTTTATTTTTAAAATCGTACATTAAGCCCCACAAGTCCGTCCTGCACATCCTGATAGTTTGGAGAATATATGCCAAATTTTGCCCAACACTCACAGCCTAAGAGAGATTTGGATTGCACAGTGTAAAACGAAATGGTAAGTGGAGGCATATGTCTGATCACATCTGTGCACATTCTAACGAGCACTAAACACAGGGACTGAGATCAGATTGGTGGCAGAAACAGGGACTGGGCATTAATGACTTTTCACTGTGACTAGACGCTGTTCCGTATGGTTACCCGTTAGTTTTCTGAAGCAAGCTGTTGTAGTATTCAGTGCACTAGGATGTAGTGCAGGGCTTGTGCAGGCTTTTTTGTATTTTGGAGGCATGTCCACCCTGTGGGTTCGTGTCCTCATATATCTGCAGCAGTGCAAATCTAGTGATAGAGGTACTGCATTGATGATTTAGTTGTTCTTGTTGCCTCACCCAGTTTTACACCAGAAAATTCTCATTTTATATCAATGCAGAGAGCCTGTGTTTTAGATTTGCATTTTTTGAGCTGCTTTCCTGGCATGGAAATCCATTGTGATTTTTAATTTACACTGAAAAATTCCCGATACGAAGTATAGCTTTTGATGCTAAAAGTAACCATTGTGTTCCAGTTACTGACTCTTAAGATAGGCTATGCTGCTTAAAGGAAAACTGCATTGTTTACATGTGACGTTAATATAGATTTGGCTCATTTAGTTAAAGTGCCTGTCACTGTCAAACTTGTCATTTGGTTATTTGACCATTTCCCTGGGTATTTGAAAAAAGCAGGAACTGTGATTACAGTACAAGGCAGATGGCATCATAAATACATAATGGAAATTAAGCCAAGCTCCAGCACGTGAGGTTTTGTGGGTCGACGGCGATGGTACGTCTCAATCCAAACCCCTGGAGCTCTGCTGCTCCGCACCAGCGTACAGCCGCAGAGGGCACCCGCTGCAGACCCGCGGAGCGGGTGTTCCCAAGCTTACCTCTTCCTGGCTGCTCGAACCAGCCATCCCGCAGCTGGGGGAACAGTGGCACAGATCTGCTTTCACACTACAGCTGGGGAGGAACAACCTTCTTGTGTAACAAGGAGATCAGGAATTCAGATTTGCTTTCTCTTCTGAAGTAGGGTAAGAGGAGCAAGGTTTCCTGGGCAGAAAAACAGACAGAGGGAAGAGTGGAGATGGGTTTAATTGCTCTATTTGAATAAACCATGTCAACATTTAAATTTTTTAACCCTGAGAACTTCAATATGAAATGTTGTTTTGAAACAGGAGATGGGAAGGGTTTGCTCAGAAAATCAAATCTCACATTTCACTCTCCTGGTGACCTCGCTGCTTTTTTTTCCCCTGCCTTTTTGAAGAAAATTTATCTCTCAATGGTCATGCTTCTTCCTGCCTGCCAGCTGGCAGGAAGTAGGCAGGAAACGCCCGTTTGCCAGTGCCTCCTTGCCAGTGCCTCCTCGGCATGATGCTTCTCATCTACCATCTTCCATCAAAAGAAGAACTATTTTTATGGTGCTGACAAAATAGGATGGTCGAGCAGCTAGACAGTAACTGATTCATGCAGCTTCCAACATAAGCTGCCTGCAAGACAGCTGGCAAGTCTGGAGGACGTGTTTCTTTTTTTTTTTTTTCTTTTCTTTCTTTCCTCTTCTTTCCTGTTTGTTTTTCTTTTTTTTGGTCATTTTACTACCTTATTTTCATTCCTTGCTTTTTAGTAAGCAAATTCCATGGAGAAACCCACTCAATGCAGTGTTTTGTTATGCACAGAAACTCAAAGATACGTAAATAGCACTAAGGAAGGGGTGCCACCTCTGCTCCATGGCCTACTGTGTCCGTCACATCTGTGCTGTGTTGTAGCACTATCATTCCCGAATTATCCCTAAGGGCAGTGGAGGGACACTGTAGGGAGTGGCAAATTGAAAATATCAAACTAGGCAGGTGAGAGAGGAGGAAAGACCAGGGCAGGAACAGCACCGAAGTGATGAGAGGAGCTGTTCAACAAGGCTTTCATTGAACGGGTCAAGGGTTTAGGACATGCAGCTTGCTCAAAGCCCGGGAAGTGCTAAACCGATGTGTCGCAGAGGAGCTGAAGTGCAGCAGATGAGGCCATTTGAACTGTAGCTGCTTCAGTCAATTGACCTTTGGACCTCACCAAACCCGAGTTCCAACTAAAACCTGGTGGAGGTCATGGTTGGGTCCACCATGACATCCAGCTGTGTAGCACTTGCAGCTGCTGGTTGACAAATGGTTGCATTTATCAGTGTGGAATCAGCCATAAGGTGTTTGTTCCTCTGGCTGATAAACTCCATCAGCTTTATGTGTTTGGTTGAATACTTCATATATGTTGTGCTCACTTGTCCAGGGTCTGGCCCAATAAGTTGGTGGCTTGATCAAATGCCCAAGAGAAGTGATCAGAGTCCAAGGGATGAGTTTGACAGAATCTCCCTTGCGCACAAGGTGGTCAGAAGTACCTGTTTGCTTTAATATCTGCATGAGATCGGTGTGCCCTGCAGTGGGAACTCTCTTTAATGCTGTTAATGCTAATGAAAAACTGAAAATTTGCATGACATTTTAAGATGAAAAATGTTGAAAATACATGTGCATTTCCTACTAATTCAGTGGTAGCATTGCTGCATTTAAACAAGTAACTGGGGGCGCCTTAAAACAACCATTCAACTCTTCTGTCCTACAAATTTTGGGCATTGTTCTGCTTCTTACCTGGACAAATCCCGGTGGCTTCCGTAGGAGCAATGTTTGCCCAAGAACGTTAATTTAGGTGTTTTATGAAGACACGCTTGAACAGTCAGGTTTTGTTTTTATATGTCACAAAGAACTTGTCTTGTTTTTTATAAATCTGAATTACTTGCTCTTTATTTGTTTTTAAATAAACTAAATTACTTTTTTTTTTTTAATTAATTGCAGTTTTCCATTAAGAGCAAACTCTTTCTAAGGTCCCCTTGATTCACACAGAAGATCTTGCCTGTGTTGCATAGAAACCCAGCAAGAAGGGAGGCAGGTGCTGGGAGTGTGGTGATGTAGAGCAGCAGAACCTTTGGGAAGAGGGGGCTGGGGAGTGCTCTTCAGACTCTTGGTTTTGCATGTTACCAGGTCCTGCTTGAAGCCTTATGTATTTCGTGCAAAGTAGAAAGAATTGTGTAAATTGGTGATTAGAATGACTCTACTATATGAGACACATTGAATTTTATGCCACAGCTGGAGAAACTTATCCTTAATTGAAGCTGTGGGCAAGTGTATGTCATTTTTGATGTAACATTTTCCCTCACCCCTGCACCCCCCACCCCAACCAAAATCCTTCGTGGAGTCAGATTGTTGCTGTAGCCTTTTTGAACCCCTCTCTTCTAATGTTTGATCAAGTGCTGAAAAGAGAAATTTACAGACTATTTAAAATGTGGAAAAATTGCTTCCCAATATTTTTGACAGAGAGAGACTGAGAACACACAGCATTGAATCATCAGGAAAATTGAAGATTTCCCCTGAACAACATTGGGATTTTACAGCAGAGGACTTGAAAGACCTTGGAGAAATTGGACGAGGCGCTTATGGTTCTGTCAACAAAATGGTCCACAAACCAAGTGGGCAAATTATGGCAGTTAAAGTAGGTGATGCCCATACTTACATTTGTACTTCAGTCCATTAGGGATGAAATGTGATGGAGAATTAATGTTCTTCCATCTAGCACCCATCTACTGCTCTTTTCTATTTATTTCTAGTGTAAAGGCTGCTATTTGCTGAAAATGGGTTGTATAATGGGCGTATTGTCAAGTGATTTGTGAAGCTCTCATAATTGCTTGTGCCCTTTTGAAAATGCCTATCAGGAACCTACTGTTCTGAGGGGATCGCATGTCTCTGGAGTTTGATAATGGGGCATGGGCCTTTCACCTCTGGGTCACTGGTTCAGATACAGCCTAGGTTGGTGTGAGGCACAAGTTGATGTCTAATAGCTTCTCAGTGTCTTTTGTGAAATAAGGTAGTGACTCAAAATTTGCTTTTTATGCAAGTGTGTGCTGTGGTGTAGCCTCACCAGGAGGAGCTGCAATGGAGTGGACATCTAGGGAATGTTCTAGGGAATGTTTTGCTCTTGCTGTTGTATGATTGGAGTGTCTTTGCTTTATGCCTACTATGCCAGACCTGCTCTGGGGATGGAAAGTGTAGCAGTTTTCTGGACTGTCCATTTTATACTTCATGCTACCCAAAAACTCAGCTTAGAACCAGAAACAATATGCAACCTCATTTCCCAGCTGAGCGATACGGAGTAATCTTTGTCTTCTTCACCGTGCATCTTTGAGGAGCTGCTTGTCCATAGAGCTGGGTGAGGTGGGCCGCAACC